CCGTGCTGCTGGTCGTCCCGGTGGTCACTGCCTGCTGGAAATGCGCAGCCAGGCCGGCTTTATCCTTGCACTGCTCCTTGCACTCCAGGCACCGGAAGCAGCTGTAGTTGCTCTGCTCCGCGCTGGTGCTCAGCGGCAGGATGGGAAGGTCCTGAACCCCGTTGGCGGCGGTCAAGGCGTCTTGAGCCACGCCGGTCACTTTGCTGGCGGGAAAGGCCGTGACGGAGACCAGGGGGGTGATGTCCGGCTGTCCGATCATTTGATCCAAAGCGATGGGCCTCATGACGAGGTGGGAGCACTGCATCACCAGCCCCTTGTCCTTGTGCTCCCGGGCGTGCAGCAGCAAGCTGCACTTGTTGAAGAAGACGAGGCGTTTGGTGCAGTGGTTGCAGGTCACCTCGATGCGCATGCTCCGGCGGTCGTAGTGGCGAGCCAGGCTCTTCTCCAGGGCGAAGGAGTCTCCGCACTCCAGGCAGCGGTATCCGAAGGGAGGCAGGGCGAGGCTGGCGTCGGCCGGAGGGTTCAGGTTGGGTTTGTACGTCGGCAGGAGGTTTTTGCTGTTGAGGATCTTGTTAAAGGCTTCCACGAGGCTGGATTGGCTCCGGGAGATGACGGTGCCGGCGACGGTCGGGGAAGGCTTCTGCGGCTGCACCATGACAACCGTGGTGCCGTTGACTTTCTGGTTGGCCGTGGTGGTGACGGTGGAGGTCTGAGTCACGGTGCTGACGTTGGTCCTGGTGTCGGCTTTGGGCAGCGTCTGCGGCACCAGGTTGATGATGTTCTTGGCCACGGCTTTCCCCGTCTTCGCCGGCAGCACCACGGATTTCTGCTGAGCCACGCTGGCGGCGATCAGCATGGCGCTGCTGGCGTTCTGGATGGTGGAGACGGGCAGGACGGTGCCTTTGAGTTTGGTGCCGTTGCCGAGCTGAACGCTGACAATTTTCGGCCCCTCGACGGTTTTCAAGGGGCTGGAGAGCTCCATTTTTTCCTGGGGCACCTCCAGAGCGACCCCTTCCTCTCGCTCCGCCAAGAAGCCGGCACCCTCGAGGCAGATCTCCTGGGAGCTCTGCTCCGGCGGCCCCTTGGTGGAGCCCGGCTCCGAGTCCGAGGAGACCCGGGTCACCGTCCGGGTGATGCTGCCGCAGGATGTTTTGATGGTTTTGATCCGCACTTTGAGGGGCCGCGAGGAATTGGACGAAGGGGAATCGTTGTTGTTGTCTTCTTCCTCCTCCTCTTCCTCAACGCTGGACATGCTCTGCGGACTTCCCAGGGACTTCTCCAGAACTTCCTGCTCTTCCTTGAGGGTGATGTTGTCCAGCGGCTTCGGAGAAGCGGGAAGCCTGGGGCTCTGTACCACCGGCGAGGAAGGCTTGAAGAACGGC